TGGCATCTGGAAGGGCAGGCTGCAAAATGCCGGTGCAGCGTTACGCAGAGAGCGCAAATATTATCGAGCAATTATCAAACTGTCATTATCGCTTCATCGAAAAATCATATATGGTGATAATTATTGATATCGAATTATCGCTCAGCCCTAATTCAGTGGTTCAAATTCAGCTGTTAAAGTTCAACATTACGTCTGGGAAATAGAGTTAAAGTGAGAGGGGTACTTATAAAACTGATCTGAGATCAGGTAATAACTATGAAACCTGTTCAGTGTTTCTCCACTGAGGGCGATCTGAGTTTGTGTGATTCATGTGGACTTTATGCTATGTCACAGATCAGCCCCAGTGGAGAAACACTGAATTCTCTAAACGTTTCAACATAACGAAGCCTTGTTTACTGAAATCACAATGCACTCACCGGCCACTTTATTAGGTACACCTTATTAGTACTGCGTCGGACCCCCTCTTGCCTTCAAATCTGCCTTAATCCTTCATGGCAGAGATTCATCAAGCTACTGGAAATATTCCTCAGAGATTATTATTATCCATATTGACATGATAGCATCACACAGTTGCTGCAGATTTGTCGGCTGCACATCCATGATGCCAATCTCCCGTTCCACCACATCCCAAAGCTGCTCTATTGGATTGAGCTCTGGTGACTGTGGAGGCCATTTGAGTACAGTGAACTCATCGTCATGTTCAAGAAACCAGTCTGAGATGATTGAGCTTCATGACATGCTGCGTTATCCTGCTGGAAGTAGCCATCAGAAGATGGAGACACTGTGCTCATAAAGGGATGGACATGGTCAGCAGCAATACTCAGGTAGGCTGTGTTGTTGACATGATGCTCAATTGGTACTAATGGACCCAAAGTGTGTCAAGTGTGTCTCCCCCACACCATTACACCACCACCAGCCTGAATTGCTGATACAAGGCAAGATGGCTCCATGCTTTCATGTTGTTGAACCAAATTCTGAGCCGACCATCTGAATGTGTCAGCAGAAATGGAGACTCATCAGAGCAGGCAACGTTTCTCCAATCTTCTATTGTCCAGTTTTGGTGAGCCTGTGTGAATTGTAGCCTCAGTTTAGCCACAGAACTGCCGCTCACTGGATATTTCCTCTACTGCTGACCATTGTCTGTAAACTCTAAAGATGGTTGTGCGTGAAAATCCCAGTAGATTAGCAGTTTCTGAAATACTCAGAGCAGCCCGCCTGGCGCCAACAACCATGCCACGTTCAAAGTCACTTAAATCCCCTTTCTTCCCCATTCTGATGCTTGCTTTGAACTGCAGGAGATCGTCTTGATCATGTCTACATGCCTTGGCTGATTAGAAATTTGCGTTAACAAGCAGTTGAACGTGCTTTATTCGGTGTACCTAATGAAGTGGCCGGTGAGTGTATATATCCCCTGTAATGTTTTTCATGAGATATTTTCCCAAAGTTTGCATGCGCAAAAGACATATTAATGAAATCTCAATATCCATTTGCATTCTGGTATTTAATCTTTGTGTTGTTTTATTCTCTATTGATTTGATCCTGTGATGTTAATGTAAAAAAGTTGTAAGTACTGTATTTCTTTAAAAAAATAAAACACACACACACAGGCTTACCACAGCTAAAGGGCAGTGCAGTGTGGGTAATAAAGCAAACTACTGATGCACCAGTTATACAGTGTCTGTTCTACATGCGCTAGTATCTAGCAGACAGGTAATATAAAGAGAGAGACAGAGACCTTCACCTGTCCTGCTAAAGCATCCACCTGCAGACGAGAAGAGCATTACACGCACACTGATTAAACTGCAGAGTATAAACTATATGAGGACGCTTTAACTGTATACAGTTGAATTCAGAATTATTCTCCCCCCTGTTTATTTTCCCCCAATTTCTGTTTAACGGAGAAAAGATTTTTATTTAACACATTTCTAATCATAATAGTTTTAATAAGTCATCTCTAATAACTGATTTATTTTCTCTTTGCCATGATGACAGTAAATAATATCTGACTAGATATTCTTCAAGACACTTCTATACAGCTTAAAGTGACATTTAAAGGCTTAACGAGATTATTAGGTTAATTAGGTTTACTAGGCAGGATAGGGTAATTAGGCAAGATATTGTATAATGATGGTTTGTTTGGTAGAAGATTGAAAAAAAAAAAACTTAAAGGGGCAAATAATTTTGACCTTAAAATGGTGTTGAAAAAATTAAAAACTGCTTTTATTCTAGCTGAAATAAAACAAATAAGACTTTCTCTAGAAGAAAAAATATTATCAGACATACTGTGAACATTTCCTGAATCTGTTAAACACCATTTGGGAAATATTAAAAATATTAATATTTATTATTATATTATTATATTATATTAATATATATATAGCGATACGGAGTATAATTTTAGCAGATGGAATGAATATTTGGAAATAATACATAACTTTAGAAATATTGTGATGATTTTAGCGAGAGCATCTGCATAGAATATAATAAACCAATCACAAACATTGATAAATACAGTAATACTATAATTCTGTACAAATAAAAGATACAGTGCTTTGTTCTAGCAAGATTCAGACCTTGATAGTTTTCATCGTATATACAGTTGAAGTCAGAATTATTAGCCCTCCTTTGTATATTTTTCAACTCATTTCTAAACATAATAATTTTAATGACTAATGTCTAACAATCTGTAGACAACCCAAAACTAATATTGCTTAAGGGGGCTCAGGGGCGCAACTGCACATTTACTGATGGGTATGCGGCTTCAACTTTTGCACGCCCCCCCTTCAATCCAACTATATTTTATAACAGGCAAGTGATAAAATGTGGAAAATATTTCCATTAATAAATTAAAGATATTTTTTCATAAAGATATCAATTTGCTTAAAAAAAAAACAGTTTCGCAGTTCTGAACACAACTGAAATAGTTTGAAGTATAGTAAAAGGTATAAATACATTAAGCATGTTAAGTCACAAAGAAATGCATCTCATACCAGCCCAAATTTCTTCTTAATTTAATTTTCACTTACTAAATGATTATAGCACCTTGACTAGCCTTGCTTTTGGACTTTTTGTACTACATTTGTCAAAACAAAATGATAGACATGGGAGTCCTAAAGGGCAAAAGAACATTGCAATTACTTCTCACATTCAGACTGAGGCAGAAGGTCTGTCTTTGCAAGAACAATTGACTGAAACTGCTAAAAGTGAAATAAAAAAGACTGTCAAATGTTTAGTGTAAAAAAACAGAAACAAACAGTGTGAAATGTTCTATTTAATTGAAATGTTATAACTTTGTTTGTAGCTAAAATTAAAATAGTTTTGAGCTAAGAAGTTACCAAAAGGCCTGATGAATCAATATGATACATAATAAATTCATAATAACATGTGGTATAAAAATGGGGGGAGGGGTGAAATGATTTTTTAATTTAATAAAATACAATATTATACGCGTATAAAATGCTAAATTTTTTTTAACAAAAAATATATACGTTATTTGAAACTTTTAATATGGATAATTTCAAAAATAGTTTTGGCACAATGGCGCCCCCCCCATGTGTGGCGCCCCTATGCACTGCATATACTGCATACCCCCTTTTTGCGCCACTGAGGGGACTAATAATATTGACCTCAAAAGGGCTCGAAACTGCTTTTACTCTAGCAGAAATAAAACAAATAAGACTTTCTCAAGAGGAAAAAACACTATGGGAAATACTGTGAACAATTCCTGAATCTGTTCAACATCATTTGGGAAATATTTGACAAAGAAATTGACAGGAGGGTGGATAATTCTGACTTCATCTGTATATCTTATTCAGAGGACGCTCATTTCTACAATCAGAGCAATAATTATGACACTAAAACACTTTGGAATCTGATATAGACTCAAATTAACTACTTATTTTAAATGAGCTTAAACAACTTCTTGGCGTCTTGGCGTTGTTTTTGTTTTCTTGATTGTTTTATGTTCAAATTTGTCAAATTTGTAAAAACAAAAGAAGTTAACTTAATGGATTTGGGTTGGGACAACATGAATGAATTGTGTGGAACCCTACCACAGAGAATATATATATATATATGATTATATGTGCGCGTTTGTGCATGTGTGTCTGTCTGTGTGCTTATGTGTGTGAGTGTGTGTGTGTGTGTTTGTGCTTATGTCTGTGTGTGAAATAAAACTTTGTCATTGTCTGTGTGTGGCTGTGTGTTTTTGTATGTGTGTGTCTGTGGCTTTATGTTTGTGTGTACACGTCTGTCTGCTTGTCTGTGCATGTGTGAATATGTGTTTGTGTGTGTCTGTGTGCTTATGTCAGTCTGTGTATGTATGTGTATGTGTGTACTTATGTCTGTGCGTGTATTTCTGTGTGTTTGTGTGCTTTTGTCAGTCTGTGTATGTGTGTGTACTTATGTCTGTGCGTGTGTTTTTGTGTGTACTTATGTCTGTGCGTGTGTTTTTGTGTGTACTTATGTCTGTGCGTGTGTTTTTGTGTGTGCTTATGTCTGTGCGTGTGTTTGTGTATGTTTGTGTGCTTATGTCAGTCTGTGTATGTGTGTGTACTTATGTCTGTGCGTGTGTTTGTGTGTGGTTCTGTATATGTGTTTGTGTGTGTTTGTGTGCTTATGTCAGTCTGTGTATGTGTGTGTACTTATGTCAGTCTGTGTATGTGTGTGTGCTTATGTCTGTGCGTGTGTTTGTGTGCTTATGTCAGTCTGTGTATGTGTGTGTAGTTATGTCTTTGCGTGTGTTTTTGTGTGTGCTTATGTCAGTCTGTGTATGTGTGTGTAGTTATGTCTTTGCGTGTGTTTTTGTGTTTTTGTGTGTGCTTATGTCAGTCTGTGTCTGTGTGTGTGCTTATGTATGTTTGTGTGTGTTTGTGTGCTTTTGTCAGTCTGTGTATGTGTGTGTACTTATGTCTGTGCGTGTGTTTGTGTGTGTTTGTCAGTCTGTGTATGTGTGTGTACTTATGTCTGTGCGTGTATTTGTGTGCTTATGTCAGTCTGTGTATGTGTGTGTACTTATGTCTGTGCGTGTGTTTGTGTGCTTATGTCAGTCTGTGTATGTGTGTGTAGTTATGTCTGTGCGTGTGTTTTTGTGTGTGCTTATGTCAGTCTGTGTATGTGTGTGTACTTATGTATGTGCGTGTGTTTGTGTGCTTATGTCAGTCTGTGTATGTGTGTGTGCTTATGTCTGTGCGTTTGTTTTTGTGTGTTTGTGTGTGCTTATGTCAGTCTGTGTATGTGTGTACTTATGTCTGTGCGTGTGTTTTTGTGTGGGCTTATGTCTGTGCGTGTATTTCGGTGTGTTTGTGTGCTTTTGTCAGTCTGTGTATGTGTGTGTACTTATGTCTGTGCGTGTGTTTGTGTGTGTTTGTCAGTCTGTGTATGTGTGTACTTATGTCTGTGCGTGTGTTTGTGTGTGTTTGTCAGTCTGTGTATGTGTGTGTACTTATGTCTGTGCGTGTGTTTGTGTTTGTTTGTCAGTCTGTGTATGTGTGTGTACTTATGTCTGTGCGTGTGTTTGTGTGCTTTTGTCAGTCTGTGTATGTGTGTGTACTTATGTCTGTGCGTGTGTTTGTGTGTGTTTGTTTGTGCTTATGTCAGTCTGTGTATGTGTGTGTGCTTATGTCTGTGCGTGTGTTTGAGTGCTTATGTCAGTCTGTGTATGTGTGTGTACTTATGTCTGTGCGTGTGTTTTTGTGTGTACTTATGTCTGTGCGTGTGTTTGTGTATGTTTGTGTGCTTATGTCAGTCTGTGTATGTGTGTGTACTTATGTCTGTGCGTGTTTTTGTGTGTGCTTCTGTATGCGTGTTTGTGTGCTTATGTCAGTCTGTGTATGTGTGTGTGCTTATGTCTGTGCGTGTGTTTGTGTGCTTATGTCAGTCTGTGTATGTGTGTGTACTTATGTCTGTGCGTGTGTTTTTGTGTGTGCTTATGTCTGTGCGTGTGTTTGTGTGTGGTTCTGTATATGTGTTTGTGTGTGTTTGTGTGCTTATGTCAGTCTGTGTATGTGTGTGTGCTTATGTCTGTGCGTGTGTTTCTCTGTGTTTGTGTGTGTCTGTGTGCTTATGTCAGTCTGTGTATGTGTGTGTGTGCTTATGTCTGTGCGTGTGTTTGTGTATGTTTGTGTGCTTATGTCAGTCTGTGTATGTGTGTGTACTTATGTCTGTGCGTGTGTTTGTGTGCTTATGTCAGTCTGTGTATGTGTGTGTACTTATGTCTGTGCGTGTGTTTTTGTGTGTGCTTCTGTATGCGTGTTTGTGTGCTTATGTCAGTCTGTGTATGTGTGTGTGCTTATGTATGTGCGTGTGTTTGTGTGCTTATGTCAGTCTGTGTATGTCAGTCTGTGCTTATGTGTGTGCTTATGTATGTGCGTGTGTTTGTGTGCTTTTGTCAGTCTGTGTATGTGTGTGTACTTATGTCTGTGCGTGTGTTTTTGTGTGGGCTTATGTCTGTGCGTGTGTTTTTGTGTGTTTGTTTGTGCTTATGTCAGTCTGTGTATGTGTGTGTACTTATGTCTGTGCGTGTGTTTGAGTGCTTATGTCAGTCTGTGTATGTGTGTGTATGTGTGTACTTATGTCTGTGCGTGTGTTTGTGTGTGTTTGTCAGTCTGTGTATGTGTGTGTACTTATGTCTGTGCGTGTGTTTTTGTGTGTGCTTATGTCTGTGCGTGTGTTTGTGTGNGCTTCTGTATGTGTGTTTGTGTGTGTTTG